CTGAAGAATGTGGTTGGTATTTGATGAATATGGAATTGGAAACGATACTGGATAAAAGATATCTTGATATTGAATAATGGAGCGTTCATTGTTTCAGCTGAACTGCTCAAAACGATGAACTTAAATCAAAAAGGGGATTCCCACAAACCGACGCCAAAAATGCTTGCCAATGAATTCGAGAAACATCGAGCGAAACCAAAACGGCATAAAGATGATGTGGGAAGTCGTGATATGGAGGATATAGATTATATTTTAAATCGTATACCGATTAAGAAACGAAGGAGACGTCACGGACCGGGATCAGATTACGAAAAGAATCGTTCATCACGGTCGACTCCGAGCTACGAACACTTCGAAAATTACCGGCGCCGTGGTAAAGTGGGAAAAAATATGAGGAGTGCCAATCAAAAAGAGCGGCTTAGCAAAGAAAAGAAATCTGATAGTAAGCAAACAACTAAACTCGAGCGTATGACCGAAGAAAAAGCTGTGACAATCTGCAATGAATATGACGGTCTACCAGTAATGGGAACTCAAAGCGATGAAAACTTACAGAGTTTAAGTTTGAAACAAGAAAATGGTCAGTTCAGATCGATTATGATCATTCGACTGATTAGTTTCCGAAATTCCCGAAGTTATCATTCTACAAAAATATGTATGTATTTCTGACAGCTAATGTCTGCACACAGCGACGAGCACAGTTACGTTCACAAGCAGTTGTCAATTTCTCAGTCAACTTTTGAGTTTGAATTCAGCCATAGAATATCTCACTGGATCTGGCTGGCGTGGACGGAATTTTCGCTAAATGAAAAAGAAAATCAGATTTTGATGAAACTATAATCCGAAAATTGAAAGGTTTCATTCGAAACTATGTCAATTTTCAGTGAAGAACAGCCCACACACCGAACTTACTACAATACAAACCGAGAATTCAGACTCATGCGAGCAAGAAACACAAATGTCATTAACTGAAAATAAGGACAATCGACAGTCGACGCCCACGCAATAAAGAGAATCCAGGTAGGGCAAGCAGTTCTCATCGAAATGTGATCGCCACTATTGCTCGTATTTTACTTGAAATGTCTGATCAGAAGCTAATCGGCCTGATGGCACTCACTGACTAGGAACACCTTTCAACAAAGCCACCTCCCACAATGCAAATAACAATTTGTTGGAGCCACTTTTTAAAATCAGCTGGCGATTGCGTCGTTGGAAAACCGTATTTTAGCTTCCGGAGAAGAAAAAAGATAAGCACGAAAGGAAATCACTTCTTTCAACATTTACTCACAGCATTGAGCAAATTCTTTCGAGTAAACTTCACGAAACTGCGCACAACAAATATAATTGAATGTATTTATGCAAATTCGTTTACTCACGACGACATCAACAATCAAAATGTCTTATGATTTTCACATAAAATGGAGGATTACGGCTGACAACATTTTTTACACACTAATGCGCATTTTCGTCTCTGCTAATGCAAAATATTCAGTTACCGAAATTTAAAAAAAAAAGCTGATCGTGTTTGATTGCTCAATATTTCTTCGTATTTATACTTTCAGGATATTTATGATTGCAACGCCTGAATATCGTTGAACAACGTCCCTACATACAGTTTTGCTAAGCAGCTGTAATTTGATGCGACTTGAATTTTATGATAATACGTTGAAATGTTAATAAAATTATCTATCACCTTCATGGATCAGCAAGTTTACGAGTATCGATCCAATGCAATCTTAAAAACACAAAATCACCGGACGTTTTACATGGGCACTTATTTTCAATTTTTAAATTCGTATTTGAATTGAACCTATTCATTATTTGATGAAAAAATGAGCGGTGTGCGCTCTACAAATTGCATAACTTTGTTGAGTCCTCTCCCTGACTTCCTGAACTGCTCACGTGACCCTCATCCATACCTCAAGCAACTCCGTGCAAAGAACAGTTACCATTAATACAATCCCCTGTTATTCATGAATTTACTTGTGATCGCATAACACGGCGACAACACATTCATTTCAGTCATGGCTCAGAAGTGCCTGCATGATCAGAGGAATATTAGGTCAATAATTTTCTGGCAAAACGTATAATAAAATGGGAGATTTATTAGTTCAGAAAAAGAGCTAATTGCAGATTTTCGAAAATATACTATTTTCGAAATGCAATCATGCGAAGGAGGTCATTCATTGTTTAGCCGCTGAACGATATATTGAGTTTTTTCACTGATGATGAATGCATGATTCAGTGAAGTGGTTTTGCTGCAATGGCAATGTTCATTGGATGTATGTTTATTCGTGGTTAGCAGAAAGTAACAAGAAAATGCATCATAAGTGCTCCGTTACTCGGATAATGTTGAGGAAAATTTGGATACACATCAAATTTCACACTTTCATTTGGCTATTTCATGCGGTTAATGATGATGCTTACGAATGAAACTCATCGATTAGGCCGTCAAAATAGTTCGATCAACGATTCTGATTTGAGCAAGGCTGACTACAGCAAATTAAAACGCTTATTAATCATTGAAATGATGATGGGAATTAGTAATCACAATGTTTCATTGGAATAAGGTATAGAATATCATATAGCGATGTAGTAGGTTTACAGTTAAACGCTGAAATGTTACGCAATATTATATTCATTTACGCACATGACGCAAGTTTTTGCCTTCATTATCACTTGCAATCACAAATTCATCGTGTTTACTGTCCACAATATTGACACGTCTCGCACCCGCCGATCTTCCCAGAATGCTTTTCTTTGGCTGAATTTTCGATGAATTACCATGATGAACATGAATACGACACAATTTACTTGCGAAAACAAATGCAACAACTGGATAAGATGTTGCTCTACGTGATGATAGTTTTCACATGTTTGAATATCTACTTTTGCGTATGTCTGGTATCTGAATTATATCGATACGCCAAACACTTTCACTACTAATTGTAAGATATTATTAGCCAAGACTCTAATCTATCTGATAAAAGTGCAGTAAGTGAGTGAATTGAACGGAAAGTAACTAATTGGGACGATATCATTGGAATAAGAACGTGCCTGTGCTTGATTCTTGAGTTTAGCACGTTCTCTGGCAGCAATTTCGCGGACATCACTGTTCATAGCAACCGAAGGCGCCTGAGCGGCCGACGCAGCAAGAGCGCTTTGAACCCAGCATTTTGCCTCCATCGTATCGGGTCTTTCAACAACCGAAGTAACGAATCTCTGCCTTTGTAAACTCTTCAGTAGTAATTGTCGACAAACATCTTTATCAGTAACCGGCGTTCCATCGATATCGATTAAGTGATCACCAATCTGAAGTGATTGTGCGGACAGTGAATTGGGATCACATCGTGAAACGAGTACACGATTCTGGTAGTGTTTAATACCAAGTCCCAATTTTGGACCTCCTGGTTGCCAATTAAGACGCATCATCTGAAAATAGATTGTCATCATTGCTTGATCATGGCGATGAGAGCACTGCGTAAGTGGCACAGTCAAGCACTAACAAAGTAGCAGAATCCATCACGACGTGTAATGTATTTGGCACGGTCGGCTGGTATATTGACACGTGCAGCTAACTCTTCGGCTTTCTTCTCATCACGAATGATAAGCAACGACGCAGCTGGCGGTGCGAAACGTAACAAGTGGAAGAAGTGATTCGTGTCACGAATATCTTGATCGTTCACCTTCAGAATCTGATCACCTATCTGAAAGAGAACAGCGAGCTGAAGTAATACTTCGTCACCATTCATTGAAAAAGAACAAATTCATCATATCAAAACNAAAAAGAACAAATTCATCATATCAAAACTATCAACATTCGTTTGGCCTCATGGGAACTGAATTTTTTTTTGGAGCAATCACCATCCGCTTATCATTAGTGAACGATGGTTCACCAACGCTCATCAAACCGATGAAGTAGTTGATCAAATCAAATAAATACCATAAGTTTGCCCTCGGCCAGCGTTCCGGGTTGTACCTTAACAACAATCAATTTATCATTCGGTACAGCCCCTAGTGGTTCGCCTTCCTCCATGGGAATCACAATAGTCATTTGCTTTGCACTATCGCTCATAGTTCCGCTTGACCCGACTAACAACTCCCAAAACACTTGAAAAAATCGAATGAGAATTTCACGTTAAACGGCCTTTATATCAGTGGGAAGTTGGCTTATTCGAAAAATTTCTGCAAAGAACGCATAGCATAATATGCAGATAAATATCAACCGCAAGTAAAACTGATATTATTTGCATTTATATTAACAATGAATATTCAAATAGAGTGCTAATGCAGCGTTAGAATATATGTAAACTGGCTTCTGATACCATCGCTATAAAAGTAGA